GTGTGTGTGTGTGTGTGTGTGTGTGTGTGTGTGTGTGTGCGTGTGTGTGTGTGGGTGGGGGGGGTCATGTTCACGTAATGAGCATCCATCTCACATAATAACCACATCTCGCCTCTCGCACTCACACAAGTCCCGGCGAGTCTGCTTCTCTCTCTAAGGAAGCTACACGGCGCGTCTGCTTCTCTCTCTAAGGAAGCTACACGGCGCGTCTGCTCCTCTCTCTAAGGAAGCTACACGGCGCGTCTGCTCCTCTCTCTAAGGAAGCTACACGGCGCGTCTGCTCCTCTCTCAAAGGAAGAATAACATCGTGAAACGTTTTACCTTCATGTCGGGATTCTCACCGTCACCGTGTTTCCGCCGACGACATCTACTCTGCAACGGAAGTCTGCGAGAAAGCTGAAATCTGTAGTTATAATCACCATGGTCACGAAAAGACGCAAGAAGACAGCATCTTTCAGCCAAGGAGAAAATTTCGCAAGAATTTACTGTTTTTTTTCTGACGGCAAACAGGAAATCTGCAGAAAAGCTCAGAGCATTATTATTTCTTACGAACCGATTGCGTGACCAATTGAGGCGAAATAACGCGGTTATTATTATATTTCTCCGTCTTCAGATAACAAGGAAGCTGCGTTTTCAAGCCATTTCTTAAGCCCGGATATCGACAAACTCCTTTTTCAGATGTGGGTTTAAACTGGGGTTACTTGAGCGCGAGTTATATGATATACCCTTTTAGAAGTAGATTTAGGCAGAGCTAGTTTTCCTCTCTTGCAGACGCGGCTTACGTTGCACATTCATCGGTTGTGCGTATGAAGGACATGTGACTCTAGAATTAACTCGGCTAGATATCTCACACCTTGTACTTATAACACGTTGTTCAATTCATTCTACCTAACGAAGTCCCGTAATTGTTATTAATTAATAACATCAGAGATAGACAAACACAAGCAAATGTAGAAACGCACAAATACGGCTTTCGTACACATTGTAATTTACAATTTTCTGACACATAATGGTTTAAATCGCGGGTAATACGTGATTATAATCTAGTAGACACACTCACACATAACACACAAACATATTCACATAATTCACAGCTAGACCACTGATTAAGTCACTGAATACGTCACACCTCGCAGCGTGACCTCGGCTAAAGAGTTGGATCACTGACTGTGTCATTGCTTGCGTCACTGACCGCGTCACTGCTTGCGTCACTGCTTACGTTACTGCTTACGTCACTGCTTGCGTCACCGCTTGCGTCGCTGCTTGAGTCACGCCTCGTACGTAGCTTCACCTCTTGTTGAGAGCGAAATCACTGCCTGCGTCACTGCTTGCGTCAATGCTTGCGTCACTGCATGCGTCACGTTTTAACAGCTTTATCTCTTGTTTAGAGCCCGATCACTGACGCCGTCTATACTTGGGTCACGCCTCGCGTCGCGACGACGCGAACACGCGCAGATGACGTCACCGAAACTGCGTCGGAAGTCGGACGACGCTACGCTGTAGACGTAGAAATCGACGCTGAAGTTGAGCGCCTCTATGACGTTAGCAACGTGCACGTACGTGTAGAAGGCCTGATTATCCGGGTAGAGATGCTGATGGGCGCGTAGTACTATGGTAACGAACGCCTGCGGCAGCGTACACAGTAGAAACACTGCCGACGCCGACACCAGCAACACCGTCAGCCGACGCTCCTCACTCGCCAACTTCCGCTGAGTCGCCGATGACGTGACGTCACGGCGGCGGACTAACAGGTCACGATGCGCCCGCAGGATCAGCGGGTTCAAGGTCAACACGCAGACGATGGGGATGAAGCGATTGAAGATTTCCTTGATTACGGGGTACACGTATCGGTAGAACGTTAGATCCTGTACGCGGGAAGTCCAATGCCAGTTATAATAAACTTCGTACGTGTCGGGCGACAGGAATTCTTCGACGGTCGTTTCTATCGTGTGGGGAATGTGAAGAACGAACGAAAACACGGTGATGATGGCTGTAGTTAGTGTCGCTCGCCGCCGCAGCTCGTCGACGTGGCGCCACTGTGCATGCACGACGTGTAGGTATCGGTCGACAGTGAGAGCGACTATGAGTAGGTTACTGATGCACATCAGACTACGGAACAGGTAGAAGCAGACGTGAGAGTAATACCACATGACCCATTTTGTTTGCTTCAGCAGACGAGATCTCACCATGTCGAATGTCACCAACACGAGCAGCACCGCCAGGTCGCACGCCGCCAGAAGGCGCAAGTATACGTACGACGACTTTCGCATCCGGCGGCTCCGCCACAGGACGGTGGTGTTGAGGGAGTCGCCGACGAGACCAGCCGACAGAACGACGGGGTAAGCGACGACGTACACCCAGAAGTCTACAGTCGTCTGATCGGTGCTGTTCGCGTAGAAAGTGGCTGAGGAATTCATCGTGACCTCAGTTCATGTCCGGCCGCCGACGTCGCAAGGGCAGCCGCTTTACAAATTACAAGCTGTAAATAGATTGGTTTGTTAAGTGAGTCGCATTCACATCTAATTACGCGCCTCAGTTGTGTGTGTGCGCGCGTGCGTGCGTGCGTGCGTGCGTGTGTGCGTGTGTGCGTGCGTGCGTGCGTGTGTGCGTGCGTGCGTGCATCAGCGCTAGTGTTTGCCTGCTGTGGCTGCTGCATGCTAACAGGCAGCTTCTGCTGCGCTGGTCGGAGTGACACCGTTTCATCCCTAATAGAGCGCAGCTGTATAGCAAGGGGCGTGTGTGTGTGCGCGTGCGTACGCGCGTGCGTGTGCGTGCGTGTGTATATACATGTGTGTGTACGTGTGCGTTCGCGCGTGCGTGTGTGGGCGCGCGCGTGTGTATACATGTGTGATTATGTTTAATCCTGGTCTTTGAGGGTTTGTGTGTGTGTGTGTGTGTGTGTGTGTGTGTGTGTGTGTGTAGTGTGTGTGTGTGTGTGTGTGTGTGTGTGTGTGTGTGTGTGTGTGTGTGTGTGTGTGTG